TCATCCTAACCATCTTTCTGTGACCGACCCCAAAAGCAAGCTCTCAAAATCAGTAGCCTGTGTTTGGCAAGAGCTGCAGCTCGAAGAGTCACTGGCGTCAGGCGAAGTAGTCAATATTTGCTCTCTGTCCCTTTTCAAGTGCCAGCAATACCAGCCTTGCCTGCCTGATAAAATTGAGCACAGCTACTCAATAGTCACTCGTTAGCTAATTGGAACGGCTCTCTCACGGGTATTCAACCAAAGGGTGTGGTTGGGTCCTGTGCTAACATGAAGCCAGTATCTCCATGCTATTTATGTCTTCCTTGTGAGCATTGTGACGTGGATTGGTCTGTGTGGCATGTTTGCACTTATTTTCTGTTTTCCAAACCAAACAGAATTTTGAGATTGCATTTTTGTTTGTGTCTTTAAGACTGCCCTTATCTTACTGTTCATCATGATCTCTATGATATTTAAAAAGAAGCATAAAACAATCCAGCAAGCGGGGGAAATCAACTGTTTCATGCTCCAACAGGATCATAGTATTGCAGATTAGAGGAGGACTGTTGAAAGATCTGTTTGCTACAGGATGCAAAACAGCCCTTGATACTCATAATGCGTGAATGTTTTTCTCGCCGCTCACCTGCCTGGTGAAGGAGAAGGAGGTCTGTGGGTTGGATGGTGAGATTAGGAGCAGGAGGCTGCATTATCCTTAAGCAGCTTGCTCCGCTTCACGAGCTGATGAAGCTCTGCCTGGCAAGCCCTTCACGCCATCTTGGATGATGAAGAGCCACCCAGGACTGGGGCTTGTGTTTGCCAAATTCCCAGAGAGTAGTAAAATGTGGGACATTTTCCTCTGAGTGGCATTTTCATTTTCATGGGCAGAGAAGTCAGGATTTTTGTTTTTCTCCCAAGGGCATGATATTTTTGGTATCTTTCACCCTGCCCAGCCTGTAAAAACATACGTGTCTATTGCTGAGTAATCTTGCACTTGCCTTATGATGGTAAACTTGCCTTCACATTAATCTTTTGTGCAAGAGCATGCTTTCAGAGGCAGAAGAGATCATTCGCTCCCACCCTATCTCCCAGATTTGTTTCTTGCAAGCTGATGGCCTGGTCAGAGTCTCCAGCTGCGTCCCCCGTGCGGCGGGAGGATTTACCCTGGCTGGGAAGTGGGCAGCAAGTACTCCCGCAGCCGCCTTGTCCGCCATCTCCCTCCAGGCCTGGGCCATGCACACTGCCCTACCACCCACTGCTCCTCAGGGCGCTGCGCTGGGGCCATGGGGCAGGACATGCACTGTCTTCTCCTATCCTCCTGGCAGGGTGATGGGCCAGCATCCCGCAGCCCATCTGCCTCCCCATACACAGGAGCTCCAAGCCTCTGTGTCGCCATGACCCAAACAAAGCCCTGTGCTTTGCTCTGGGCTGCCTGATGCAGCCCCTCCTGCTGCCTGGCACAGCAGGGAGAGGAACTGGCTCTTTCTCTCTGCTTTGCACCTCTCCTGCCTCTCAGGCTTTGCTTCTCTGCTGCCTGCAATGAGAGGCAGGAGCATTGCAGGTTGACCCCTGGAACAGCTGCCCGTAGCCACGCGTGGAGGGGCTGGCAGCCGCCTCAGCCATCAGAGGGAAGGGCTGGGAGAGCCGTGCAGCTGGCGTAGGGCAAAGATGGTGGTTTGGGCAACCAGAACATCAACTCTCCTAAATGTATAATCTTGCGCTTCCTCGGTTAATAGTCTATTTGACCTGCTTTGTAATGTCTGGGCTATTAAATACCTCTGTGACCTTTTGGATTTTTATTCAAATGGGGAAGAAGGAGGGGATGACTGCCCTTCTGCAGCTCCAGCCAGGCTCCTTGCAGAGTTGGTACTGCTGTTTGGCCTGTTTTTTGGGAAGCCAACCCCAACACTTGCAGTCAAAGCTGATGTGGAAAGGGAGAGAAAAAGGAGTTTGTGTTCACGCCTGCTCCCACGAGCTGTTGGGATGGCTGCTGGTGGCAGCAGCTGCGTGGTGGTGAGGCCTGAAAGGCCATAATCTCAGAGGCCAACGCCTCCTGCTGTTACCTCAGGCCTGTATACAGAGTTAAATGTATGATTTTGGTGGTTGTGTGTCTTGGGAATGGGGTGGTTTTTTGGGAGGGAGCGTGGGCTGGGGAGTCATGCGGTCCACTGGCCATGATCAGGGCCAGGGCCGGGGAGCTGCCCTGGTCTGCCTCTGCTGCTCATTCTCTGCTTCACCTTTTGAGGGGAACTAGACTTTCTTCATCTCTGCTACCCCCAAGCTGTGGAGAAATGCTTTTCCCTCTCTTAATCTCTACTCTGGTGTGAGAAACAGTTTAAATATTCTGATTTTTGAAACATGGTCTTAACCAGCTTCCTATCTCCCTTCACAACTGCTGGTAGACTGTGTACCAGCCTGAAGGACCTGAGTGAAGAGCCGAATCTCTCTGTGACCAGGTCATGCTTTGAGTCCCATTTCACCTTTTTTTTTCTGAATCATGCGTTAAAGCACTTCCTTCTTCCTGTTTTCTATTTTAAGAGCCTATGTCCACCTTTTTGGCTGGATTAATGGTCTGCATACCCCAGGGAGGGTCCTGCACTGAAAAGGATGCTGTTAGAGGATATATTCCCCGATGACAGCCTAATAACTCTTCCCAGCCCTTCAGTTAGCCAAGACATCACATTGTATGGCTTTACCTACAGATTTGCATTTGTTGCCTAACCCCAGCCTCCATCTTGGTCTCATCACCGAATTCCATGCATGTCCCTTCCCAAATTTCAAGACGGATCTTGTACTAGCAATGGCCCTGAGTCTTTCAAGGAACGTTTAGGAATGGATGGAGTTATTCTAGACGTATTGCTCTGTAGAATGATGTGGTCACACAGCTGTTTGCATTTGCTGAGCTTTTGAGAAAACCTTCATTGGTTGCTCTTTGCTGCACCCAGAAGTATGGTTGATGGTTGTAGAGGTCCTTGCAGTATCATCTCTACAAGCAAGAAAATATCAACTCTAAAATAAGAATTGAGAAAACCTAGTATTAAATAGTAACTTAATATCTGGAAGAATGGACCTTAGGTTTGAGATGGATGCCATGTATCTTTTTGAGAACGAGAAATAAAACCAGATCATTTTTTCCATTAACCATTTTTTTTCCTTTTTTTTTTGTAGTGCAGCGAGAGTTTACACAGAAGAAAACCTTCACTAGCTGGATAAATTCAATATTGGCAAAGGTAAGAAGGGGTTCTTTAGGAAAGACATGCCTTTTGCCCTTTTGATTTGGATGTGCTGTATGTAGATTAAAATTTTCAGGAATAACAAAATTAATGTAAGATTTTTAGGCGCTGACTGGAAAAAGTAGCCCCTGGAAAGCATTTGTTTAATAGGTGCAACAGCATTGTCTTGGTGATTGTCTAAGGACATTTGTAACAGGCGGTTTGTAAGTAGATGACAGTATCTTTCTTGCTGATGTGGTAAAACATACTTGTGCTGGATTGTGGCACACGTCTCAGAGTTTTATGAGGTTCTGTATTTATGATTAGTTATACTGTGTTTAGGTAAGTATTATTCTATTATGCAATCCAAGAACATGAGTTTAATGGGATGACCTGAGTGACTGGTAAGCATTAAGACAAACCACATAGTAGTGTAGGTGCTCTTTAAGCATTCATAAAGCAGCTCATGCAGCATGTGCTGGGGCTTTGACTTACTCAGGTGAAAAAAAAATCCTGTTTTGGTCCCTTCTTGAGCAGAAGCTGCTGAGCTCACGGTAAGTTTGTGTTGTCCACAAGTGAGTGAAAAGAGTGAGGGTTTAGTTATTCAGCTATATAGTCAAATTTGTGCTTGGGGTACATTGATTAAGAAGTCAAAATATGAATTAACTGCTTTTCTTAACTTTCCCTTTTTCAAAGTTTTAGGGTCTTTTGCCACATACCTCCTTGAAAAGTATAAATACTTGGAAATGCGGCCTAAAATAACCCTTATAAAACAGAGAGGCAGGGCAAAGGGGAACAAGAGACAAACATAGTAATGGATTAGAAGCAGCAGGATATGACTGATTAGATGCAGGATTTGTATTTCAGCTTATTGAAAAAATAAAGGATGCTAGTATTTTTTTTTTAACAACAGAGTAATATGTGATGTTCTGTAGCATGTTGAATTCAAAATGACAAAAGATGCTGTGACAAGCATTGAAATTTATTTTGCAGCATACACCTCCTTCTGTTATCTCAGACTTGTATAAAGACATACAGCAAGGACATTTGCTTTTGGATCTGTTGGAAGTGCTTTCAGGTCAACATCTGGTAAGACAGAGTAATAAAAATATTACCTCAGTCCTCCATCAAATCCAGTAAAAGTTTCTGGATATGCTTAATTGTAACCATATGAATGATCCCTCTGGAGTTATAGAGCTATTTGCAAGTAACTTGTTCTTACACCACTGACACTGAAGCATACTGAAACAAGTTGATCCAAAGTAATTTGTGAATCTTTGCAGGACGTCCCTTATCAAAATATGAAATAAAATTAATTTTTACAACTGAGGTTGTAACCTGTTCTTTTTGCTTCACAGCCACGGGAAAAAGGATGTAATACCTTCCAGTGCAGAAGTAACATAGAAAATGCTTTGACATTTTTAAAGAGCAGATCAGTGAGTATTAACTTCAAAATTCACAACTAAAGCCAGTTTAGCTGGTGGAACATTTTCTTTGTTAACAATGATCTTTTTTTTTTCCCCCTAGCTCAAGCTCATAAATATTCATGTTACTGACATTATTGAAGGAAAACCTTCCATTGTGCTTGGCCTAATTTGGACAATTATATTTCATTTTCATGTAAGTATTTCAGCAATGTAAGAGAGTTTCAGTAGAGAGGAAAAGCACAAAAATGCGTTGACTTATGTAGTTGCCAAATGAGATGAATTAGTACAAAGCAGAAGATTATTTTCTGACATCTGGAAGCGATGACTCGGGGAAGAGATGCACCAGTGCGTCTTTCCTGTGTCTGTGAGCTGCTTCATCAATGCAGCGATGACGTTACAGCCTGATGAACAGTATCTAGCTGCAAATGGTAGGAAGGAAAGATATTGAGATTTTTTTAAAGTAACCAGTTAAAAACCAGGCTAAGCTTTGCCTATCTGTCTAAGGCCTGTAATGATTAAGCTCCAAATAGAGGAAATAGTGCAAAGTGGTTCATAGCCATCTCTCTCTGAGGCAGCCCCCCTCTTCTGTGTTGGCTGTGCTCACAATGTGTAATTCTTGCTGTTATTTTTTTCAGTACCAGGTGCCTGGAATAACAGGAAGGCTGTCATACTGATGTTTCTTATACAAGATACTGAGCATGCATCTTGTGTGGCATGAGGTTGCAGGGAGGTTTGAAAGCACAGGGCCTTACTTTAATCATGTTGTAGGACTGTAGAGGATGATGGAGCCAACCTGTCTTCTAGCAAGAGCTCAGCAGTGAATTCACATAGGTGCACTGGGCATGAACTGGTGACTAGGGCTCGGGAGAGCACTAAGAAGCAAAGTTATTTAATGATATTGTAGCCCATGTTTTTCTTGGTAAAGGTGCTTTGGTGCTGACAATTCTTGTGCTGCACATAGCCTATGCATTATCTTTTTATCTAAACCAATCTTCTCTAACCAAAGGTAGATCTCTGAGGTCTATCGAGTAGGTTTTGCTCCACCCTGAGTGAGCAGGCAAACTCTTAGCGTGCCTAATACGTGACACTGTTGACAGCAGAAAACACAGCCGCCACAAGCTGCTTTCACTGGTAGGAGGCGTAGAAAAGCACATGGAGTGAGAAGGTCCCTTGGTGCCATTGCTGGGACCCACAGTATAACATGGGAAGTCTCTGGGTGGATATTTTCTGCAAAAAAATCACCTAAAGATGGGAATTCAGCATGAAATAGTTCAGGTTGGACAGATAAAAACACCTGATATGAACTTTGAGGGTAGGGAACTACTATTACAGCTGCGACTGAGTCCTTTCTAATTCTCTGTGGTTTTCTGCTGTTGATATCTTGCTAATTTTTCACTGAAGCCTGATGAACTCTCCTGTCATCTCTGATAGATTGAAGAACTTGCCAGGACACTTGCTTGTACTTACAATCAGCCTTCACTTGATTGTTCAAGTGCTGTTGACTCCTCTCCAAAGGCAAACCGATCAGCTAAAAAAAGTGCTAAAATTAAGGAACGGTGGAAGATCTCTGCTACAAAGGCTCTTTTGTTATGGGCAAAAGAACAGTGTTCACTGTAAGTTCCATCCGAGACTTATAAATAGTATGTCACACATTTTATTTACTGTCTTCTTCTAAATGTGGTGGTATTTTCCCGTTTTTTTAACATTACTTAGTGACAGCTTAGCAGAAAATCCTTTAGATTTCAGATGTTGTTGCCAGTACTTTTAGCATCAATCAGGCCCTAAATGTTTTGACATGAACCTTTTAAATATAATAACATGAAGCTAATCCTACTAAAAACATACCACAATGTAAATTGAGTTGTTTGGCTTTTCTCTTTTAGGGGCTTCTGCGTGATAAGTCTAGTGGAATGTTTACATGATTTGCTAGTTTTAATCCTCATGGTTGGCACTGGTTAACAAAGTTTCAGTAATTAATTTTTGTTTTAAACGGAAAACATAGGATTTCTAGGATTCCGACATCTCATGTTTTTCTGTCAAAACACTGCATAACCCCCAAGAGGGACCCTAGTCCTAGAGGTCCTAGTCCCCAGTTCTAACAAGATGTTTCCTTATGCTTAATATACACATAGCCCTGTTGATTTCAGTGGGAGTATTCACAGTGCACAATCTAGAGCAGATACAGATATTTCTTGCAAGGGGCAAGCTTTAAATTTTCTTCAAGGGCTACTGCTTCACTCCAGGACATTTCAAATATGTTTTACAATAATGTCAGCGCTTTTTCTCCAGCTCTTTGTTTGCTTTGCTGATAAAATCCTACTAATATTTGATGTTAGTGGCAGATAAAGGCCTTCATCAGCGCATCAGACACTTTCTGCTGGGAGAATGTTTTCAGGCACTGAAGTTTCCCTTTTACTGTGTTTTATCAGGACAGAGCTGATTGGCCTGTAAAAAACAGCTCTCTGTCCATTTAATCTTCTGCTTTCTTTTGCTTATTTTTATTTTTCAGCAATTTTGCTGTCTTTTTTTTGTAGCATCCTTTCTGATCTGTGATTACATTGAATGATTTTGTTATCAGTGAATCCTATAGTTTTGATAAAAGACCAAATCTTGTAAGTCCTAGCCCATTGTTTTGTAACTAAATTTGATCATCTGAAATCCCACATATTTTCCATCTTGTAACATACTCATAATGTATGGGCTGTTCCTGGAAAGTTGTCGCAGAATTCACTGTGGCTAGCAGAGCCGGGCATCTCACAGCACTGTCCTTAATAGAAGATGTTTTAAAGACACTAAACTAAATATGAGAAAAAGAAATATTTTTCTTGCAGTAATAGGTCACTTTTAAGGTCTGGATTTTCTAAAATGCTGGTAGTGGTTTCAGTACTCAGTGCCCTTCCAGACAAATGCCTACATGTTCTTCAGTGCTTTGCTTGTTGTTTTTCCATCTCATAGAATGTATGGATATTGAGCACAAAGGTGATGTCCTGAAAGGACACTGGATCAGCAAGGCTTTATCTTCAGAATGCAACATAAGATAAAAACATTGAGTCATTTTGCAAAAATAGTATAAAAATATATAATTGTAGAGATTGGTAGTAGTGACTATATTGTTGTCTGACTCAGCTTCTGCCGAAGTTCAGGGGCAAGGTTCTGTATAACTCCTTGGATTTGGTTCATACTCCATTTTACTGAATTTGTATTCTATTTCTAAATTTGTACTTAGGACATCTGAGGAAACAGGCCATAACATTTTGTTTCTAATCATTTTTGGGATAGGCATGGCTCTATCAATGTGACTGATTTCAAGTCAAGCTGGCGAAGCGGACTGCCTTTTTTAGCCATCATCCAAACCTTACGACCAGGTCTAGTTGATTTGGAGAAGGCAGAAGCTAGAAGCAATAAAGAAAACCTGAAAGAGGCTTTCAGAATTGCGGAACTGGAGCTGAATATTCCACGACTCCTTGAACCTGAAGGTAGATGATCTGCTTTTTTTTAACCTTTGTTATCAGAAGTGAGATTAATATAATCCCACATGTGTTGACTTGTAATACAGGAAAAAGTAAGACTGTGCTTAAGTTTGAAATGGAACATTGATCTTTACTGTACTGCTCAAACCTAAGGTTCTTTATTTTATAACACTGACTGTACTTAGGATTTGTAGGATTTTTGAATTGGCAGCACATGCAGGAACAATATGCAAAGGAAAGGACATGAAACTTTCCCTTTCGTGGGAGAAACTTTTAAATTAGTTAATCATGTTATATTAAAATATTCCCAAGGAAAAAAATGTTCATTACACATTAATTTCTGTCAATGATATGTTAACTGAGCTGCTGCAAAATAAACATGTTTATGGTAATGTGTTTTAATAACTGCAGTATAGTGTGTAATTATGTGATCAAGCCTAGAAGGCTGCATAATTATGTAAATGGTGTATTGGCTCTTGTAGATGTTGACATTATGAATCCAGATGAAAAATCAATCATGACTTATGTGGCTCAGTTTTTGCAATACTCCAGGAATTTGCATGAGTCTGAAGAAGACATGCAGGTATGTCATGTGGTTTATCACTGAGACATTGTTAAATGAATGTGCATTACAGATGCCAAGAATATCAGTACTTTCTTTGCCCAGTTTATAACCTGACTCGGTCACAGTTAGTTAGATAGTAGATCCTCTGATCCAGCTACTGACAGGGCTGAATTGACTTGAACCTTCTGATGCTCCTGTGTCGTGGTCAAGACTCAGTATGATAGATTTTTGATGATACAGGTGGAATTGCTGTACAGGTTGTCTTGTTTCTTCATTTAACTATTACAGAGGACACTTTCAAGCCTGATTGTCTTCATGTGTGCTCTGAAGTCTGTATGTAAATATTGGGGTAGAGGCAGACAGATTTGCAAATGTGCAGAACAACCAGCTTTTAAATTTAATAGCTTACATGTAAAGTGGACAGAAGTTATCACTCACAGACCACACTGGCTGAAAAACCAAGTTTTCTATTCTCTATATTCTCCTATGAGAGTTTATGTATTAATTGGTTATTCACATATCTCCATACTGATAATCTCCTTTCAGTAGGACTACAATCAGGCTCTTCTCTGAAGATGCCTTCATATATCCAGGTGCTAGGTTTAAAACTTTGGCCTTGCTCTAGAATAGTGCCTGACCCAAAATTCGTTAAAGTCCCCAGGAATTATTTGTTTTTCAATAGCTTTGAAGGGGGGTTTGTCATATGCTCAATGTGTGTTGTTTTATGGCACAATGTAAATTAAAAACAAGGCTTGCAAAATGGAAAAATGAAATTTTCTGCTCTAATTACCAGGAAAAAGTGGGAGAGGCCATGAGCTGGTTGACTGCACAGGAGAAGAAGTTAGCAAAGTTGCTGATGGACACAGAGAATGAAACATATTACCAGAAGTACAAAGTAAGTTGCATTTCCTATTTAACTGCCTCTGCAAAAATAAGCTATGTTTCTGGGAATATTTTTAATATTTTTCATCTTCATTGCCTAACCTGAAGCATTAAATAAACTTTTAAACAAGAGTTGGAAATCTGACAATGAATTTGGTAAATGCCCTCATATGATTGAGGGAAGGGTAGGATGAAATTATTTCTGTTAGGAAAAAGATATATGCTGCTTGCTTTCTGAGCAGGGCAAGGTTTTTTTTGAGAGAGAGTAAAATAGTGTCTTTCAATTAATTGACATAGCTGAAGACTTGGACAAGATTCAAGCACACAGGCCCTTTACAGGGTTACCTTTGCTGTTTCTATGATAATAATAACAGTAGGTTTTACGCAACTAATGTTGTAGAGGAGTAGTTGAAATGTTCGCTATAGGTGGTGCCGAAGTAAAATTTCCTTTGGTTTATATTGTAGCCAGAGTTTGTCATAAAATGGCCCATGGGGCACTGTGAGGGGAGGAGTTTTCCCTTTCTCTTAATCAGAGGAGAGAACTGTGTCCTGACTGCACTGACATTATATTAAATACAGATTTTGCTAGTGAATGGCACCTATAATTTCACACCCAAATACTGCCTGTAGACAAGCATGCATCTTTCCTGCTATCTTGCCTTTCCGTGCATCACACCCTTTGAAGTTAGTGGAAATCGTACGAGTGTGTTCAAAGGCAGTACTTGGCTCCATGAGTTTCCATCTGAAGCCTTCGTCTATGAATTACTCTTCCTTTTTATCCCTAGGAAACGATGTCATTTATGGAAGCATTTAACCGAGAAAAAAACCCCTTTCTGCCTGTATTGTCATCAAAAAGAAGTGAAGCTGAGCTGAGCGAAGGCCAGCAACAGATGAGAGAAAAGTGGGATAAACTGATCTCTCAGGTCAGAGGCATTTCTAGCTCACCTGGTTACAAGCGTGTGTTTGATGAAGAAGCCTAAGTCTACCCCAGGAACTCACAGAGGGAGAAGTGGGGAAGGTGATACTTTATCTGGGTTGATAGAAGAGGTATTGACCTGAAGTCCAGACAAACTGAGTGGTGTACAGTGCCCAAGAGGAGGCGGAAGGGTGACTGTGTATTACCCTTCTGCCTCCTGAGCCTTAGGACTGTGAGACATCTGCGAAAAATGGCTGGCATGTGATTATCTTTGAGCACTCTTCTAATCAAAGTTTTTGGCCTATTTATGCTTAAAAGGTTCTTTTGGGACATAATTATGGCTCAGATAATAACGCAACTGGGAAAAGTGTGTTAATATATTATTTCCTGTGGCATGGATAGTGATATAGTGAGATCTGGTTGGATTGTGCTTTGCATTGAGGTTGGCTGTGTCATATCCGTCAGCTGCAAGCAGGGATGTATTGGTCCTTGCTGGTAATTGCTCTTTATGGAAGAGATGGTCCCCTGTCAGCCCCATGATGGAAAACTGTCCAGAGCATCACTGTTTCCTCTCTATTTTGCAACTGGTTTATAGTAATTTTCCCTGTTGCTGGGCCTTAAGATGGTCACCAGCCAAGGATAGTAACTGCCAAATTCTCTGTAGTGTCACAGAGATTACAGGCTGGGGAGCCAACCTGGGTCCCAGGTAAACATAGCTGATTTGCAGCTGACTTCACTGGAAGCTCCTTTTCTGAATGGTGACAGATTTTTTTTTTTTTTCTGGGATGTGTAGGGCATCAACTTATGGAGCTTATGTCAGCATCTTGGGGATGGGGAAGAAAATAATAGTGAGAAATTTAATCACTTGTTTTCCTTTTTAAGATTAACGAATGGAAAGCGAAACTGGACCAGATGTTGCCCTCCCCTCTGGATAGCATTGAGGCTTGGCTTCAGGAGGTAGAACATCTGCAGGCAGAAGATCTGCCTGATTTGCAGGACCCGTTTAAAGCAATGTTTGCCTTCAGAGAAATAATTGTAATATTTAAGGTATGCTGCTCACAAAGGGGCATTCTGCTTCAGTCTGACCTAGCAAAGCACTTGTTATGGAGTTGCTATTTGACATTTTGGGAAGTGGTGTGGATATGTTTATTTTCTGAAGATGAAAAGCTCTTCTGAACATACCTTTGAACAGTGATGAGTTTAAATAACTGCATAGGTCTATGAAGAAGGTTTCTGACTTCACTGGGCTGAGATTAAATTTGAGTACTATCTGAATGAATAAATTATGGCATTCTTTTTTATGTGGTTCTTGCAACTTGTTTGTTTGTTAAGTAATAGCACAGGGTAATTGCATTCTTATCTTTAAATCTATGCTTAATGCATACCTACTCAGAAAAGCACTTGGGCTCAGGGTTACATTCCAGTGAGTTCACGGAAGTTTGTATGTTTAAAGTTAAGTATTTGCTGAATCACTCTGTAATTCCATTCAAAGCACTGGGAGGCATTTATTCTGATCTTGAAATCTTTACACTGATAATAGTTTAAATGGCCTTTGGAGTCTGAAAACTTTGAAAAGAGTAGATGTGTTGATGCCTGGTTGACCATTATAATGCTGTACTTGGTTTTTTTTATGAACAAAGGGGAAGTTGGATGTTTTTGTGACATGTCCTTAAAGAGAATTTGAAAGAATGGGAAACAGAGGTTCGTGTGAGTGTCTTGATAACACCGCTTTTTTGTACTGTTGCTAGTCAGTTCCTGATATGAGAGATGTTTTTTTATCTGCTAACAACTTTGCCAGACTTTAGCCATTTGATCTATGATTTTTGTTGTTCAGCTTAAGTGGTTAAAGCATTTCTAAGAATGAGACAAAGAGAGAGATGTCGTTGGTTTAGGAGTTTCTTTTTCCCATCGAACATGTAGATAGAGTCATTAAGCTCCTTAAGAAGAAGAAACCTAAGATACTTAATTTCTGTCAAATCCACTTTTCCTGATGGGAAGGCATTCTGCTGAGAATTTTTTTCCCCCTCATTTGTCTAGTCAGTCCTTTTAGTACGTCTCATGTAGGGATCTTGTTGTCAAGGTGGTGCCTTATAATGTAAATTTTACTTTCTCATAAGATCTAGGAAATTACTGACCAATGCTCATAACTATCTGACTGGAATAGTATTAAGGTTACAAAATCAAGTGTTTAAAATCTGTGCGCTATTTTTGGGGTTGAGGACTGCCCCAGGATTTAACCATTTCCATTAACGTGCTTTGTGGCAGGTTTTATGACATAGAAATGAACTTTTAGCATATTTCTTTATGTGCCACTTTTGAATATGCTTATATTCTGTGCAATGCATTTTATGTTTTATTTTTACATAAGGAATTTGGTGCTGAGATATATGCCCATAAAATGTTCCCCAATCATGTGATATCGACCATCAGAGGGTTAATGTGATAAGCTATCAGCATGGTGTTAGATGGTCATTTATTGAACGGTCAAATGAAGTATTAAGCAAGTGTGACATAATAGGTTTATTCAACAAGTTTTGCTGTCAATCGTTGCTGACACGTAGCAAAGAATAACTTAATATCCTGAAACTGTTACAATGACACTTTTATTCCCTAAAGATGATAGTGAAAGTGCAGAAAAAACCTGATACCATGGCTAGTGTAGATTCATGTTCCTTGTATTTTACTAGATGCACAGTGATAAGAGCAATCAGGTAGTACTGCACTAAATATGCACTTTAGAAGGTGATGAGATAAATACCTTCATTGCACATTAATGAGTAAAGACACTGGAAGATTGTCTTGTGCTGACTAGTTCTCAATAGCTCTCACCCTAACGGCAGGTGACCTGCAGGTTCCTAGATGAAACAGTCTAAAACTAAAATGAATGGCTTACTATGTCTGTTTCTCCCCAGGGCTTGATGGATTGTTTTGATTCTCACTTGGACACCCTTCAATCATTTAAGAATGAAGATGAGAAGAATATGCCACTAGTCTTGCCTGAAAAGTTAGAGGAAATGAAAAGAAGGTTGTGAACATCAAATTCCCTCTACTTTGACTATGTTGTATTCTAGCTCTGCTATCTCCTTGCTCTGCTATTCTGAACAAAGCACATACTTTATCTATGCCTTACAGAAAAAGAGCGTTTTCCATGTAAGCACAGATTGACTGTTATGCGGAGCAGGCAGGTTCACTCATTGTCCAATGAATGTCTAATTATGCGTAGAAAGTGGAGCTCATTAACAGGAAGTTTTTGGATGCCCTTTCCTAGTGTGGTAGGAAACCCCCACTAGGGTTAGGAAACAAATATTTTGAATGTAAGAATTTCTCTGGGGCTGTGGATTCTCTAATTTTTAATTTCCACCTTTTAAAATCACTGAGATCAACAGGCTGTGCAACCCCATATATCTGTTGGAGGATATTTTCAAAAATGACCAGTGTATTGTGTCTGTAACCGGAGACCTTTTGACATATAGATGGCTGATCGTCCTTTTCTGGGCTTGTAAGGTTTTCATAAATTGAGCAGTCAATATTGACTCAGAATTGTTGCTACTTAAAAAAGTGAACTGTTGTTATCTTAAATTTTACTCCTATCATAACAGAGTAATGTTTACATGTATGTAATTCTGAGTTTTTGGACTAGAACCCTTATACATTGATGCTTTCTATATGCAATGATTCTGAGTCAACTTTTGGAACATTGCACTGTTTGCAGATTCAGCAATATTCATTTCACAAACTCCAACACCTTTCTTGAGTACCACTATGGACTGTGCTCAGCTATTGCCAATGAGGTGATGTTAAAGCTAAATATCTGGGACATGAAATATGGGACAAAAGAATCCGTGGAATCACTGCTGGAAAGTTGGAATGTAAGTTTAAAATATATGTATCACACTCTGACAATAATTCTTCTTCCCCACCTCTCTTTGATTCAAGCTTGTGTCTCTCCTCACCTGAAGATACTACGATAGTTCGTAGAAACATGGTAGACTTCTGAGATCTGGGATTTATGCAAAAGAGTACAGATAGACTTCCATAGAAGCTTTCTCCATGTCTTCCCATTTTCCTCTGAATGAAAGTTCTTTCTTCAGTTTGGAGAAACAGAGCAAGCTGTGACGTAATTTTCTCTCTGCCCTTTTTTATTCTTTATTGGGAAGATTTCTTTCTTTCTAGACTATTTATAGGGCCAGCAGTAGCAGTCCTTCCCTAACTGAAATCTCTTTGGGGTAGTTTAGGAGTTGCTATCTTCAAAAACAATGATTACCCACAGTGCTGGCTAATACTGCCTTTTGCTGTTACCTCTTCCTTTTCCAGCTTCCTTATCTCCTTAGGCTTCATGGTGAATATGAATTGTCTTGTTTTGTTATATTTTGTCCTTAGCTCAACTTCTGGGCTGAAGTTATTAAAATGATGCCACATGTAGGCCTGTGGGAGGGGATGGATTACCCTACCCCAAATACTGCCAGAGATGCATCAAGAATAGAGGCAGAGAGATGAAAATTGCCATCAATTTTGCCTGGTCTCCAGTTAATGAGACTCCCCCTGAATTCCATCTTAGTAGAATTTCTAAAGAGTTTCTCTGCAGCTTTTCAGACTGGCAAATCTCTAGTTAGATTAGTGGGAATTTCACCAGCATCAGAACTGTGGAAGGAGGCAACAAGAGGTTGTATAAAATACCAGTTTTCCTGAGCAGTATTAACCTTACCCTGTGGTGGAATGGGAGTATGAAGTTAATCTGTGCCGAGTTTCTTGATTCAGTTGGCTTCATAAATACTTACTGTCATGTTATTTCTACAGTTGTGGTCCGTGGTCTTTCTCAAGCTGATAGAATATAGAGCTTTCCCTAGGAGTTTAAGGCTTGTTGCTGGCTCTTCTTCTGGTCCCATGATGTTCAGTCCTGGCTCAGAGGTGGTGTGGTGGTCCAGGTTTGTCATGGCCACAGGAGATGTTGTTTTGTAGCCTGCTAGATAGGACGTTTGTAGGAGTGGGGACCTCTGGAGTGAGATACAGCTCAGACAGAGGGGGACTGAGGATCAACTCTCTCATTCCCTGTGTGAATGTTCAAAGCACAAGTCTCCTCCTCCGCTCCTATTTCTCCCTCTCTCACCCTTTCTATCCCCAGTTTGGATCTTGCTTGATCTGTGGCAGGAACTAGGCATGTCACTCTTTTTGTGCGTGCAAGGAAACCCACTTTTCACTTTCATCACTTTTTTGACTTTTGTGACTAAATTCTGCCTGACTGTTCTAGATGCCATTTCTCAATATTCTTCTAGGGCCTTAACATTTTGAAATAAACGGTTCTGATTTGTGCAGGGCTGTGACTCAGGCAGTGGCATGCAGGAGTTAATATTCCCATTTAAGTTACTCTCTGCATGAACAGTAAAAAGAACAGATCTATTTCAGAGTAAAGGGTGCAGATGAGTTGCTGGATGTGCTTTGCACAGTTTACATTTAACCTGCAGGTTATACGCTAATATTGAAAAAAATGTATCCCAAACTGCATTTCCTACCTGGTTTTATGTGGATTAGTGTTACCTATGCCAATTACTTTTCACTTTGGGCAGAATTTCATTGAAGAAAAGAGACTTGAAATGCAACTAGAAACTGCTACTCACATCTGTGAAGATTTGAAAAACAAAAACATAAGCAATCCTGACTTTGGTGAGTTCATGCACATAAACTGATTTGAAGGCCTCTATTTTGAACCGATGTGCTGTCACCAGTTTTAATTCCCACTTATGTTTTGTATAAAATACTGCTTCTATGTAATTAACCTCTCTGTTTCCAAATGTATAATGATATTCCCTATTTGATGTCCTAGCTGGAGATCCTCAAGAAATTAGCAAACTTTTTAAGACAGTGGAGTCAAAGATTTCTATGTGCAGACACTATATTTCCAGTGTAAATACCACTCTAGAGAAAGTCCTGTCTTCCTGGAGTAATTATACAGAAAACATCCACTTACTAAAGACGTGGCTGGAAGAAAAACGAAATGAGAATCCGAAAGAGGTATGTGTTGGATTTCTCTTTGTAATGACAGAGATACTTGGTAGCCTCATGGAAGGAAAGTGTTATACATGACAGTGGTGGTTGTTGTTGTTGTTGCTTTTCTGTTCCTCATTTTGGAAATAAACTTTTGGCAGAGTTCGGCTTTAAATGATTTCAATGCCTCTGTCTAGATCCCTGCTGAGATCCTGGCAAAGTGGAATTCAGTTCATGGTTCCTTAAATGAAGCTGGAAACTACCTCATTGAAGTCAGCAAAGAGCAAGTTGGATCAAGTATTGCCAAAGAGCTGAAGAAACTTAACAGGAGATGGGCTAAATTCATCAAGAGGACACACTTTGTAAGTTACTAGTTTCATCTGACTCTTTTACCATGCAGCCTTCAAAGTCATATTTTCTAGACTTACCAGCTTGCTATTCAGAGGTTAATAAATCTTTCAGTCAACTCAATACTGCCAGTTTTAAAACAAGAGGAACAGAAGAGGTGCAGAGGTGTCCCATTCTTAAGTCTTTGTGACTCAGTTAAATGCTTTTTATGACACGATGGAAAATGTTCACTTTTTTAAATGGAAATTTTAAAACCACTTATAAAAGGAAATCTTATTGCAGAATAAAGCTCTTTATTCAGTTCTAGAGTTGGAAGTAATCAATTTGTTAAGAGCTTGTGAACCTTTGCTAAATTGTATAATCTCTTCCTCAGCTAGTAGAAAGTAATTATTGCTGCACAGATATTTCTAGGGTTGTGCAGCTATCCACCAGCTCACTTGACAGGTTTTTAGGCTGCTGTAAATTCCTATACAACCTGCTTAATATTACATATATTACATTTCCTGGAATCTTTTCACAAGAACGACAATTTCATTCTGCCTGGGAATATTGGAGCTCTTAATTTTCTAGGCTGAGCCATTCAGTGACATTTATTAAAGGTACTGTTGTGACACTAAACGGTGGCAAAAAATTAAAACATTTTTGTAGGAGATGAGCTTAGTGAAAATGCAAAAAGATTAAAGGAAACATATTCCCAAAGGTAAGGGAAATCCAGAGTTTCCTAGAAAAACCCTTAGTAAGAGTTGCTTTTAGGAAACACATTCAGAAAACGGAGATAGAGAGGCCTCTTGCACCCTTACAAGGGCTTAAGGACTTCAGGAGTTATTTTTCTGGCATTGCTTTGGACATTAGATGTGGTCTACCTGGACTTCAGCAAGGCCTTTGACACTGTCTCCCATAGCATTCTCCTGGAGAAACTGGCAGCTCATGGCTTGGACAGGAACACCCTTCGCTGGGTGAAAAACTGGCTGGCTGACCGAGCCCAGAGAGTGGTAGTGAATGGAGCTAAATCCAGTTGGTGGCCAGTCACCAGTGGTGTTCCTCAGGGCTGAGTGTTGGAGCCAGTTCTGTTTAACATCGTCTTTGACGATTTGGACGAGGGAATTGAGTGCGCCCTCAGTAAGTTTGCAGACGACATCAAGCTGGGTGGGAGTGTTGATCTGCTGTAGGCTAGGAAGCCCTACAGAGGGGTCTGAACAGGCTGGA